TTGTAGGAGATAATATCCAGCTTTTTGATCACCGTCCATCAGGCGAGCAAAAGTGTTCTAAAAGCAACAATATTAATTTAAAAGGAAGTTTAGCTAAGTAAACAAGACGAACCATGACCAACACAGCATTCTGCTCATCGTCGAACTGTTGCGAGATAAACTCCAGGAGACCAGAATTATAAGCGGATTTACGTAGGTCGTCGAAGGTGTCAACGAGACCGCTAACAATCTTCATCTTTTCTTCCACCTTAATGTCTGAATCCTCCCATACTTTCTTGAACGCTGCCTGAACGGCAGTTTTCCCCTCTTCACTTTCGCAAAATTTGATCAGCGCATACTCGGCAGGGATTCCCACGTGGCCTTGCTCCTTGGTTCCAATTCGACGGATCATCGACGGAAGGGCAGTCGGCGTCTCCATAATCAGCCCTACAACCATTGCGTTCGCTTGTTCATCACGGTCTTGAGTGAGAAATTGGATAGCTTCTGAAGAGACACTTTCATCCTCGTCGCCCACCACTTCCAACATCGTGGTGACGAGCAGAGGGAACGTGAAGCCACGATTTGTCACGTCGGGAAGTTCCGTGTCAATTTCTTCGATGGAAACACCAATTTGGATCATGCAGGTAATGGCCGCCTTGCGGACTGCAGAGGATTTGACGAGTGTAGCCCCGATAATGACAAGCTCGAAAGCAGAGGCTTGAAGGAAGAGGCGCCTGGAGTGCACCCGTGAGTAGGTGAGGATAGTGTCGAAAGTTTGGATGAGGGCAAATATCTTGTCTTGGTCTTCGGGTGTGACGGAGTCTTCATCCATCACAACGAAGGGCTCGTAGAGTGCTTTGGCGCCCTTCACAATGAATTCATGAGAAGAGGGCTCCTCTTCAGCGAGTTTTTCCAAGAAGCCGGTAATGGAGTACATGCCCATGGAATCCTTTGTGGAGAGGAATGGCATGAGGTCTGGAATATGAGGAACGAGAGTTTGGCGTGCTGCCTCGGAGACGTCTGCAAAAGAAGTGATGACCTGCAAATAGTTATCTCGAAGGGCTTCAGGAGCTGCAACCCCGGCCTTGACCAGCCTTGGGATATCAAAGGCTGCTAGGTTCTCCTTCACGAACGCTTCCTGAAGCATCATGGCGTAACCGAGTTTTTCAAGAGCCTGTATTTTGGGGTGAACGTCAGTACCTGGAAATTTTTATCGCGTCCAGAGTATAACAAACCGCGCTTGCAATAGTCTCATCCAGAGACGTCGCGTCGTTCATCAGGGCTGGGATTCCTTCAAGAGTCAAAGTCCCGTGTTTTGACGATTCCTCTTGCATTGCACTCTCGATCGCAGCCTCCATCAGACGGGCCAACTCCGGGTTGGCTTCGACCTCCGATTCGTCGTCGTCGTCGTCGTCGCCGTCCTCCTGTATACAACCTTCAGCCTCGAATTGTGTAAACAGAATACGATACGAACCTCAGTATTATCGTCGGCTTCTTGATCAGTAGGCTCTTCCGTGTTGGTAGCCTCCGTGAGCTCGAGTTCAGAAGGCTCTTGCACCGAAATATTTGCCACTTCGTCTTTGTCGATGTCGGACATGGTAGGCAGGTAATTTTGTTCGACGAAAATCAATGTTGGACTCCCTTAAATAACATAGAACATGACTTTGGTCTGAATCGATGGATAGCACGGATCTCCGAGAAAGAATGGGTGGAAGCCTTATCCGCCAGGAGCCATAGACCTAAGGCACGCCGGGCACCGCATAAGAGTAATTTGGAGGGTACCAGGAATATTCAGGACCCTCAATTTGGAAAATTTCACTTTTGATAGCAGGCTTGGCTATCTTGGCAAGCACAAGCAGTTTACGACGGCGTGCGGTTGCGGAAAACAACTGACGGGTGCGGTAGGCGGAGACAAGGAAAAAAACAGAGATGTGGCTGTGAGCGGCCCCTGTTCGATTTCGTCCCACCATGTTCAAATTTGACTTTGACATTCAGGATGTTGAGGATGGCATCGATGAAGCCTTCAACATTACCCGCAACAAGACAGAAGAAAACAAGAATGAGTCACTTCAGGCTCTACAACTACCAAAACCAGAATCTTTCGCGGAACTCCCAATTGCCGACCTCGTTCGTGGCAGTTGCCTCTTCCAAGCAGTATTCGGATCCTAATTCCCAATCTATTGTTGTCTTCAGTTGGATGCCTTGCCAAGCCTAATATCTTACTCTCCTCTATCTGTGCCTGTATCTTCACCGAGAAAATCAGTCACTTTGCTGCGTCGAGATTTATTTGATGCTCGTTTTCAACTTATCTCCGAGGGTGCGGGTGACGCTGTGGAGGCTGAAGATGTGCTAAACTCTTCGACTAAAAAGACAGCTCTTGGGTTTTTGGAAAACCCATCAGATCTTGTACCAGGCGTCTATGAGGGCGGTTTGAAAACCTGGGAATGCAGTTTAGATTTGGTGGAATATCTTGATAATGTCCAGTACCAATCAAACTACAGCTTCGCTGGGAAGAAAATCCTCGAGGTAAACTTCAGTCCTTCTCTTGAAGATATTATCACTGACAGGATCTTCCAGCTCGGATGTGGAACTGGCATTCCATCTGCGTTCATTGTCCACGAACTCTTCTCATCGCAAAGCATAATTTCCGATCACCAAGATTGTCCCCAAACGGTGATCCATCTTCAAGATTATAACGCCTCTGTAATTCAATTGGTCACTCTTCCTAATCTTTTACTTGCCTGGTGTATGTCTGGTTTCTTCCTCGAATTATTCGAGTCTCATCACAATTTCACAGATGCATCATCAGAGTCGACTGACTTTCGAAACACACTAGAGGGCGATATCCCATCTACCACTGAATCAGGAGAACTTCCAATTACGCCGGAACTCAAATCAACTTTCCTTGAGGCTCTCGACAAGTTACGGATATCCATACGTTTTTTCTCCGGTTCATGGAATTCTTTCGATCCCTCTTCGATCATCCCGTCAACCTCAAACTCGAAACAACCGCACTACAACCTCTTACTCACCTCCGAGACTATTTACCGCCTCGATAGTCTCCCGACATTAGTTGCCCTTATGCAAAAATCTTGTGTTGGTTCAGTTACTCCGAATTGCGAGCTTGAAGACTCGACATTGAAACTCCAGATCAATGATTCGAGCAACGTAGCCCCATCGCGACAGTCTATGTGTATGATTGCAGCGAAAGTGCTCTATTTTGGTGTCGGAGGCGGCATTCCCGACTTCCTGAAGGCTGTCAAGAAAGTCGGTGGTCAAGTTGAAACGGTACTCGAGAAGAAAGTTGGGGTTGGAAGGCAAATCTTGAGTGTCCAGTGGAGATAAATTACACAAGGCAGGTAGCCACTGTATTTGTGGGAGTGCTAGGTGATCATTGTTATAACAGTGTAAGTAGCAAGGATATCTGGAAAACATTCATAAAGATACGTGATCTAAGACCATTATATACATAACCATGTCAAAATCAAGAAAGCAAGGTAGATTGTCAAAGCCCTAAGAAACGTGTTGCAGTGTAGGTAGCAGCAACTGATGCGAGAACAGTCCACAGGGGAACGCCCTGTTGGAGGAACGGTGGGATTCGTTCAGAAATTGATATTTCTCTGGATATCTGTGATGGAGTATTAGAGTACTCCGAAGGTGCTGACTGGGAAGCGTGGTCATAATTTTCAGTTGGCCTCCTTTGTCGTAGTTCAGATTGGTCGAGCATCGAGTCGTCCATGCTCGTGTCTACAAGAGGGTTTTGTGTATTCGGCAAGCTCTGTATGAAATCGGGTTTTGCAGCCTCGTGGTAGTCGGAACGTTGCAACGGGTCCTCTGGAGGTGGGCCGCCTAGAGATTCGTCCGGTGAAGATTGAGAACTTGCACTGCTCTCTTGATTTATAGGTTGTGGAGGCTGCATTGATCAATAAGTACGTGTTGTGATGATAGTCAAATAGACTTACTGAAGGTTGCATAACATAATGGTCGACTAAAACACCACTTCCTCCGACAGCCACATCCGCGCGATCTAGGTGGTGGACATCCTCGACTTCCGATTCGTACGGAGTGTGCGCTCGTGGTTCTGGAGGCAAGTAAGCAACTTTAAGTTTCCTTTGCTTCACTAGTTGCTCAGACTCTTGAACAACTTTTGTCATCTGTAGATCATTTAAGCACCAAAAACTTAGAAGGTTGATGAAATCGGGGACGACTTACCACATCTTGTACGGTGTCTTGTTCTTGCCCCTGCGGAACATCTGCAGTTTGGATTAAGAACTTGTCTTTTATCCTCAAGCCAGCCAATTGGGGTTCTTGCTTCCAGCCCACAACAGTGACTAAAAGCGAAAGAGTCAGAATGTGATAGATCAACAAACGGGGTATAACTCACCCAGGATAGCCATACTCTCTCCGGGTAGTATCATCCCTTGGTGAGGCTTCGTCGTATAAAGCTATAGCCACTGCACTGTGAGTCTCGGTACGTAACATATGATTGAACGTTGGGTCCGCACCTTCGGCGCAGTGGTTTTGATCCTGAACACAACATGCCTACTACTTTTGTTCTGGATCTTCATCGTCAAGCTAGGCTTATCCACCAGCGGTTCTTCATACACGATCATGCGTTTTGTTAAAGGAGCGACAGACAAGATATACAGACAAAGTGCATGGTACACGTCAACATAAGGTCAGATACTTCACAAGCAATGAGAAAACTCACGACGAAAGTACATAACTTCTTCGGGCGTCACTTCTACAGACATGATGTTGGCAAAAAAGCGGAGTCAAAAGCGTAGGATTGAGGTAGTGCGAAAACAAGAAGCTCAGCGATTACGACTACAGAGACCTTGGCTGCCTGCCGTTTGGCGCATGCATGCTGGCTGTCAAAGTTTATTCCTTACGGCCCGGTTTAAGCGCCTCGTGGTGCCTCATCAAGACCCTGATCGGCTCCGCTTTGTCTGGGCTCATGCAGCACAATCAAGCGCCCAAGAGAAAAGTAAGATGTAAAAAAGGGTAGAAGAAATAAAACATGGACACATTGGGAATTGAACCCAACACCTCTCGCAATTGTATCTTTATTGATGCTAAGCGAGCGTGATAACCAACTACACCATGTGCCCCATGGCGGGTTGAACTCAGAGGAATTACATGTCGCAAAACTGTTATACTCCTTAGAGAGACGTGAGGGATGATGGCAAGAGGCAAGCGCTCATTGAATGCAGCCAAAATTTCTCTCATTATCTTGTCTATCACTCTGGGAGGGTCCAAATTTGATCTAAAAGAGGTTCACGAATTTTCTAATTCTTGTTTATAAACGCATGGACTAGAAACGTCAGTTGAAAGTTTGTCTGAGCGAGTTTCGGAAAGATATGTACTCCGTTTTGCCCGTGGTTTTCGTATTCGCATCAGGCAAAAAATTATGGACACATTGGGAATTGAACCCAACACCTCTCGCAGACAGCTCATTGGGATGCTAAGCGAGCGTGATAACCAACTACACCATGTGCCCCCTTTCAGGCCACCCGCTGTATGCAACCATCTCAGGGCTGCCACAACGTATTCTGCTTTAACTACACTTTTCCCTTCTTTTGCACTGTTTTTCTTTCAACGATTGGGCTCCAATGCTTATGCTTGCGATCTTTTGTAGTGCCGATATTCCTGCAAGGGTGAATTTCGTACTACCATCATCGACCGCCTCTGTATTGACATTGCATCAGGTGCTCAATAATTTTCTTCGCAGTGAGGAGTATCTGTCAGATTTCGTCAAAGAGATGGGCTGGGATGACGGACCACCGAAGTACGTATCTTCATTGCTAGGAGGGAGTACATCCTCGAAGCACCAAAAGGCGTCGACCGATAAAAGGGTTCAAATCCCCATTCAAAGACAAATCTCCGGAAGAGATAAGCCAGTTCTTCATCAAGATCATGTTAGAACTCGTCGAGTTCCTAAACATGAGCCAAACTCCAGTAGACAACACATGTCTTTTGTGTGCAGTCAATGAAGGATCAAAGGAGGTTCCGACCGTACCATGCGATTTCTACACACCTATCAGCGAAGCAACAGAGTTCGAGTTCAGCAGTGAGCAATTTGATAGTGGTTTTAGGGCACATTCGCCAGGAGTAAGATTGTGGTGACGAAGGAGAGTAGAAAATCGGCAGACGATGATTATTTACGGGATGTGGATGGGATGCGGAAAATCGATGAAAAGCGTGAATTGTTGAATGGTGCCAGTGTCAGGCTTCTGAACGAAGTTACTCCTACCATCGAGATATAATTCATTTGTTTGAAATTCATCTTGATACAATATAAGGATCTGGAGCTGATCTTGTAGTTAATCAAAGTCAACACCGAATCGCCTCATGAAGCAGTGCGGCAACCCCCTTCGGCGGTGGGCCCAGCCATGACGGGCACATGGTGTAGTTGGTTATCACGCTCGCTTAGCATGCAATGAATTGTCTGCGAGAGGTGTTGGGTTCAATTCCCAATGTGTCCATTTTTGTCCGAAGTAGTTGGTGAGACAGCGTTTGATTGCATCTTCAAAGCAATGGGAGGTAGATTAATCTATTGTATAACACAGAAACCCAAACTAATAAACAACATTGCAATATATAACCAAGGTGACATGAGAATACGAAGCTTACTGGGCTTCTTGCATATCATCGATCCAAGCCTTTCGCTTGCGATTCCGGGACTTGAGCGGTCGAGAGGCCCTCTCCATTTCATCTTTACTTCGAGATTTCCACATGAAGTCTTCCGTATGTGAAACGTAGAAGAGACGATATGTCCGAACGCAGACTTTGATCTCAAGGCCATCTTGCGACGACACGTCCGGAGGCGCATCTTTTACGCTCTCAGGCAAGTTCCTACTTCGAGTCAGAAAAACCCTACGCAAGTAAAAAGGATACATACCGTCGTAGGAACGGCCTTCTGACGTGGTTTTGCGATACACCGTCAGTACTTTCGCCCTGCATTATATGGTCAGGGTTGGGACACATGAAGATGAAAGAATGGAAACCGACAGAAACGAAGGCATCAATATAGGCTTGCCAACGGCCAGTCAACACCTCGGTATCATCGTAACTTGAATCATCTTTGCCGATAAGTTGAAAGGTAATCATTTTTGACTCGGCGAGCTGAAATTCATGGTGAGCCTAAAGGACGGGACCGAAGAAGTGGGCAGGGAACAGACCCAGTCGATTCTGAACACGTTCTCATCAGGTCCAAGAACCTTCTCTGCGTTACGTCTGCTGTTGATCCGGTCTTGAGTGGTAGGAGCAGCGAGTAAACGCTCTCGTTTCAGATGTTCCAAGAGGTCTTGACTTTTGGGGTCAGCTATAACGGCTTGTACCTGCAGTTTGCAACATTAGTAATCAATAAGATTGTCTGAGAAGTGTACAAACCTGCTTGATGATAGCGCCAATGACCTTGTCAACGGTGAAAATCTTATAAGCGTGCTGGAGTTGAAAGATAAGCGTCAATACTCGATAAAGAAAAAATGATGTTTCTCACTTTGAGGCCGAACACAGCCCGCATTTGATCCTCAAAGAGATGCTGTTCAATCTCGTTTTCAAAAAGGCGCTCGCAGAGACCCAACAACATCTCGTAGAAATGGCTAGTATTGCGGCCTGAAGGTGTCTGGGTACCGCTGGGAGCACTTTGTTCCAAGTTCGGATCCACTAGTGCACTGTCAGCTTGAGACATCTTTGAAGACACCAGCTGAGCGGAGATCCCTCTAAACAAGTTTAACCGCGAATACAACATCTATAAAATAAATGAGTCTATCAACAATGACTAAAGGGCGGAACTGTTACCTCAATCAACCGCATGAGAGTATAAAAGGTTGTATTAGTGAAAAAGACATTGTTGATCTTAGGGGACCTCTTGGATGGCAATGTTGTAGATGACGACTCTCCTTTGTCTTCTTCCATCGGGACGGGCGAAGCAAATCTTGACGCAGCAGGCGAGGCAGCCTCCTGAGCTCTCGTTTTCCGACTCGTTGACTTGGCTTGCTCACTCTTCAACAACTTCTTTCTCAGATCACCACTTGAAGAAACATTCTTCGCATGACTCCTCCCATTGCGACCTCTCGAGCCGCTGGCCAGCACAGGCTGAGGCTCAATCTCTTCTTGTTGCGTCTCCGTATCACTATTATTTTCGCTCTCCACCACATCATGCACCACGAATGCCGAATTGAACTCCACGGGGTTAAGACAGAAGAATAGCGGCACATACGACCGCAGGAAGGTTTCGATTCTCTTCCTGTCATTCGCCGCAACTTGTGTTCGATCAAGGAACGAAAGAACGAGTTTGATTGTGTCATGCAGCACGCCTTCGTTCTCAACCAAGAACTCTAGCTGATACCTTGGTCTTGTCCTCGCGAACAAGGGATCAATGAGAGAAGCCCGCTTCGCCATTTGTTCCTCTCGAGCTGTCTCAATCTGATTCAAAAGTGCCTTGGTCGTGATCGCCCTCTTATCAGACATCTTAAACGCGAGCGCCTGATGATCCAAACTCTTGGCATAATTCCTCGCGTCAACCTCCCGCCAGACCTTGTTCCATTCCCTCTGTGCACGTTTCCACTCCTCTTCTTTCTGCTTCAAACGCTGAAGTACGACTGGAATGGCCAACGCTGGTGAGTCTTGCATTGAATTGACCACTTCCATCCCAGCATCGCGACCGTAGATCTTCTTGATCACCCGTTGGTGAACGGCCTTCCACGAGCCTCCCAGGTTTGCTTTGAGCTTGTAGTTTACTCGTTCCTCGGGACTCATCTGAGCGATCTTATTGTTAATGGGTTCGAGGGCCATGATTGTCCGTGTGATGGCCTCGATATGGAAATCGTATTCGTGTCGTTCTTCCTCGCTGCGATGAAGTGCTTCCTCGTAGATGTTTTTCTTATGCGCCATGAAAGGGAGATCTTCGCTTGTCCATGTTGGATGTGATACCCATTCATCATTAAGGACTGAGCGACACATCTCATCACGGCCTGAGCAAGGAACATTGGCCTCCTTTGAAAATATCAACGACTGATCGATGACGAGGAGCGAAAAGCTAACCGTGGTCGAAACCTTTCGATAACTCCCATATCTCTCCGCCATATCGATTCGACCCGGTCTTACCGGAATAGCGGCAACAACAGCCTTGGCCCATCCACTACTGGTCGTCTGTTCATTCCTTGCCCACTCTTGTTCTTTCTTCTCGTCCCATCCCAGAATAGTCATAAACTGGCGATATAAATCCGTGTTGCCCAGGAAATTTCTGCTTTCTTTCACCAGCCTTGGAGTATCAATAAAATCTTGTGCAAAGAGGTTAACGAGCTTCAGGAATTCGTTGTAGATATCCCGGTCCGCAATGAAGAGCTTGACGCGGTCGAAGAAGTGAATGTCATCGTTAGCAAGGGCGCGAGATGGCTGGAGAGGAAGAGGGTGATGCCCGCCACGACGAGGCGATGAAGGAGCTGCAACTACATGTTTCGGGTTGTAGCTTATGGGTGCTAAGTCTTGGACAGAACCGTGTTTATGTTTCTGTGAACAGTAAGACGCTGTAACAACAGCCAAATACATTGAACATACCTTTGAGGGCGGCAAATTCTTGGCAGCTGCCTGTTCCTTTTCTCGCTCCTTCTCTTTTTCCGTGGCTTTCCGTTTGCGCTTCTGAGGCAGAGAGGAAGCATTGCTCATTGAGTTAGCCACCACATCCAATTTCCGTCGATCTTTGTCTTTTCTTGAAGAGTGGGGCGCATCATCCATAAGTTGGCCTCCCCGATCTGGCATGAAGATACGAAAATCTGCGCGCAGGTCTGGCGCATCTTTGAATAGCCTTGCAATTTGTCTTGAAACCTCCTCCTAAAAGTCAAAAGCTTATTGTAAGGTTGAATAGGAAGGTAAACTAGCACGGACCTCATCGATCGATTCAGGAGTGTGGTGATACCGGGTAAGAATGTCCAAAAATTGTCGATAGGTTTCAGGGTCGCAACGCTGTTTGATTTTTTGAACATATTGCACGGCGGGTTCGATGGCTTGTCCATCCATGGGGTATGCACGAGGGTCTGGAGATGTAGGCATGGGAGCGCTGTGGTCGATGCTGGCACCTTTTCAAAAGCCCTGAGCTGTTGCTGGGAAGGATGGTGTGAAGATACGTACCATAACCGTAGCCACTGTCGTGGCGAGATGAGCCGGCGTTTGCCCCAGACGACCATGGCATGCCCCTCATTGGGCCGCTCGTGGTTTGCGTAGTTGTCCCTGTAGGCGTAGTGACTGTTATAATGCCAATGTCTTGAGGATCTGTTGAGCACTCTATCCGGTAACCAATGGGTAAAAACGTGTTGAAACCTTGAATGAGAGCGGGGTGTCCGTGGAAGAGGTGGGAGACGCGGCGAATGACCCCGGGAGTATCAATTCTTTTTGGTTTGTTCAGCACAACAAGATCGAACAACAAAGAGATAGCCGAGGAACCCACTGCTCGTTCTTGAACTCCTTCATGATATCCAGGAAGTGGTTGTACACATC